TATTTTTGTGTGTAGATATTCCTTTATGTTTGCATGCATTTGAGAAGTCGAGGTTCTAAATTTCTTGAATCACTTGATCTTGAAATAGAAAAAACATGCAAGCACATTTGGAAGGAGCAAAAAGCCACAAAGATGATGCCCACACTAAACGAGAGGAAGAGGCCCGTTGTTGCAACCTCCCCCTCTTGCATTGTGCTAAGCGAGGACGCGAGGGACTATGAACTAAAGCAAAGTTAAACTGATGACGATGGTGAACTGCATGACTTCCACAAGCAGATAACACTTCTTACTTCTATCAGCAGAAACTTATGTGCAAAACTGGTTTCTTCCTCTCCGTCTTTGACAGTTTCCTTTTCAGGAGGATAAGTCATGACTTCATCAGCAGGAGTCAACGGGAGTGCTTTGGTTTTGTAAATCTTGTCCAACTCTGTATAGTCAAAAGGAATCTCGACACCAGCCTTTGTTTTTCTCTTTTCATCCTCAAGGGCATTCGTTTCTTCAGCTCCAATGAAGGTCATAAGCTTGGTCAATCCAATTTAATCCTTGGAGTTATAGAAACGAGTGTCCTTAGGCTGGTTAAGGAAAATAGTCTGGTCTGTTTGGCCCCTCTTAGCTAATAGGTCTTCGAGTTCTTTGATTTTAGTATAAAGAAAATCCATTTTTTCATAAATAAAGTTGTCCATGCCAAAAAGTCTGATTCTCTCTTTTCAGTAGTTCTAAGCTTCTTTGCTAGTTCTTTTTCGCTAACGCTCAGTCGTTTATTCTCAGCAATGAGCTTAGTGATAATTTTCTCTGAATTGATTATTTTGATGTTCGAGCATGTCTGTTTTTCACACAGTTTATTATACACATCGTATGCTCTAGCAAACTTCTCCTCAAGCTCGTTATTTTACCATGCGGGTCTGTTTTAGAGCAAGCAGAATTAAAAGGATTAGAAGTACTTACAGCGTGATCTGCATTCATGTTTTCAGCAGAGAGGGCAGTCACTTTATCAGCAGTGGTTGAGGTAGTCAAGATCTTCTTCGCAGCAGTAGTGGTAGTGGTCTCCTTCTCATTCTTCTTGTATGCAATCACCTTCTTCTCATCACCAGTGGGGGTTGTACTCACTTTCTCATCAGCAGTATTGGGAGTGGTTTCCTTCTCACTCACATCATCAGTAGCAGTCACCTTCTCTTCTTCTTCTTCAACAACAGCCATCAACGCTAGATTCTCATCATCGTCAGAGTCATCCATCCAATGGTCTTTCTCAGGCATGAGAGACTCTTATCACTACTCTCTTCCATGGCTAGCAACATTCTCTTCTTATTCAGATTTATCTTTTGCTTGTAGTTATCAGCGTCTTTTCTCCTTTTTGGCATCCTGCAATCTTTAATCAGATGTCCCGGCTTTGCACAGTTGAAGCACTTGGGAGCATCCTCAGCATTCACATTCTTAGAAGAATCAAGCGTGCGTTCTTTCCTTTTGTTGCTGGTTGAAGATTTGCGGAGCCTGTTGGTTGAGGTGTTCTTCTTCTTTTGCATCTGGTTATTGAACCTAGAAGTAAGAAGTGTTATCTGCTTCTGGAAGTCATGCTGTTCATCGTCGTCATCAGTTTTATCCCAAAAACCTATGTCACTATCAGCACTCTCACTCTCCTTAGCTTTCATGTTGTCCTTCTCGGAGCCTGATTTAGTTGGTTTGTCAAGCATCAGGGCTAAGATATCAGTCAACTTGTCCACAACAGCCTTTCCTTTCTCAGCCATCACTGTAGTGTGAACAAAGTCAGAGAAATCCTCAGCATATTGGTCAAGTGTGTTGTACACAGCGTGAATGTCCATCTCTTCTAGATCTTTTGTGTGCCTTATCTGAGAGCATAGCTTCCTCCAATTTGGTCCAAGTGCCGACAGAAATCTCACATTCAGCTCCATGTTAGATTTGTGCACGCCAATCTTTCTCATCTCATCGATTAGCTGCAAAAACCTAAGGTAAGTGTCTTCAAGAGATTCTCCGAGTTTGGCTCTGAAAGAGTCATAGGCTGTGAAGGTGCATGCTTTCTTTGCTTTGACACCAATTTCCGTGCCTTGCATAATCTTGAAGATTTCGTCCCACATTTCTTTTGCAGTTAACATGCTGTCAATCTGCATGTAAACGTCATTAGGGATGGATGACTTGTAAAAGATAAGTCTTTACAAGTAAGTCAGCACAGAGTCTTGCTCGATCTTCATCATCATACTCATCGACTATCTTGGGTCTCAGTTCAATCTCGACAGGAGGATTGTTCACATTGTTCCTATCAATGGCAATGAGCATCTAAGCTGGGCCATTAGTGATTGAGTCAAGTAGTCCAGATAATTGATCCTTACTTTCCAGGAAATTGAGAAATCTGTTCTTCCATACGTTGTATTCTCCTCTTCGCAGAATAGGGGGTCTAGTGTCATTTCCAAGTGACAAGGCGTCCATTTTATACTTGATCGGGCTGATCAGTTAATTGATTAAGTCATGATTTTGTTTCTTAAGTGTTCAAGCAGCAGGTTCATACACTACAGACTGCGCACAGTTTTGGAATGACGCAGGAGTCACAATTGCGCACGTCTTTAGAATTGCGCATGACTTGAGAATGGCGCACGAGAAGTATTGCGCACAAGTAGAATTACGCACGACTGGAATGGCACCCAAGAGGAATTGCGCACCACCTAAATTGCGCACCACCTGAATTGTGCACCATCTGAATTGCGCAAGGCTTCAAATCGCGCACAGGGAGTTTTCCAGCTTAAGTTTCACGCACAACCTCTTTTGCGTAAGAGAAGAAATTCGCGCATGAAACTTATGCGCAAAACTAGTTTCTTCCTCAGACAGATGTGCAAAACTGCATAATTGCCCTTCTTTCGCTTAACTTGTACGCCAATGATCTGGGTGCAAATGATGCAGAAAATAGAACCTACAAATCGCAGAAGTATGATCCTGCAAACATTTTACTGCAAAAACAATGAACAAAACAGTCTTCAAATCGCTCATGAGAAGAAAAACGCCGATGCAGTTTGGCGCATGGCTACTTCTTCTGCTTCAATCGATCGATCAGCTCCGGCTCTGATACCAGATGTTGGTCCCTGTTTTCTAGACTATAATGTATATGGAAGAATGATCAAATAGTGATGAAGCTTTCCATTGATGTGTAGAAGGTTTTTACAGAATGATATGAAACTTAGCGTAGAAAACCTTTTCACCCAAATAGGCTTTGCGGCTCTAAGGAATAAAATGTCTGGGAAAACTTAACCTACACATTCCCTTAAGGCACATTTATAACCTTAAGGGAAAGGTAGGTTTACAATGATTGAGCTCCTATTTTGAGGGGGTCCATTCCTTTTTAGGCATGTAAGCCTTTTCCAAATAAAGCCTTTTCGACAAGCAGATAACACTTCTTACTTCTTACTGCAGATACCCTCTCCCCAAATGATGTTAGTATAGACTTTCCATATAATCCAACAAATAATCACCGACATGCTACTCTTGAAAAAATCTTTAATTTTCTTGTTTCCAGCTTTTAACCACCAGGCCATAAAAATCTGCCTAATAGTAACATTGCAATTGGGGACTGTTATATGTGAATAAAAGTAAGCTTTTGGGTCTGGTTCACAAAATAATTGGAGTATATTTGACGTTTGTATTGAGAAAATTTGAATTCTAGTCCATGAAGTGGACGATAGTGGTCACTTTTCATATTCCCCCCATAGAAAGTCTATTTTATGGTCGAAAAACCTTGAATGTGAACTAATTAATCAATTATACGTCCAGATTTGCAAGTGAGTAAAGTTACAGACCTAACAGCAAATACACTCAAATGTTATGTGACTAAAACAATATATCTCTTCATTTTTTCTCCGTACCAAAATTATTTACTTTTCTTGGTTATTACTCCCTCCGTCCCTAATAAAACTTCCAAAAAGGTTTGACACATAGTTTAAGATAGTGGGTATTGTGTGGTGGAGAGTTGTGCAGAGGAGAGAGAAATGTGTAAAAATTGTTGTGAACCACAAATTCTGGCCAAAAAGGGAAAGTGGAAGTTTTAATTGGGACGGACGAAAAAGAAAAGTTGGAATTTTATTTAGGGACGGAGGGAGTACAATATTATTTAATTCTTTAATTTTAAGTATTGATTTGTAATCATTTAATTCTCTAATTTTGATTGTCGATTTGTAATGACTTTAAATATGTGATCATTTGTGTTCAGATGGAACTTTTAGTATAGTTGTAGATATATAATTTTTGCAAAGCAGATTGAGAATGATTATTATTTTTTCCAACCAACCTCGTAAAGAGGTTTTGCAGAGCCAATGGGGGGCGAAGGGAGTATCTTTGAACCAACCTCGTAAAATTTTTACTATGAAAAATTTGACCGTTCATATTATATGCATATGAAATTTTTGTTATCATATTTTTATAATATCTTTATTCACTGCATAAACTGAGTGTATGTAATTAAGATATTGAATTTGAAACATAATTTACGATATGATTTAATGCATAGTTGAATCAATAATTCAACACATTATGTATATGTTACAAATTAAATATTAAAAGAGAAAATCGCATATATGGTCCCTCAGTTATCCACGAATTTAACACCTCAGACCTGTATGTTTGAGATTGTGAATGTCACCTCTCAATTATCCAAAATAATGTGGTTCTTTTGAGGGGTGAAATATACAATGTGGGCGATAGTACATTTCATTACTTAAAGGACCACATTTACAACAATTTGGATATTATATGAGCATTTGTATAATTTAATGAGTTAAACAATTCTTGGTAGACTTCGTGAAGGTCAGCGCCATAACATTGGTCCATTACCCCTTCTTACTCGGTATTCCGTTAGTCAACTCATCTATATTAACGTGATAATCTAACAAGCGTACTCAATTAAGACTAAAACACACCCCAAATTTGTGTATTTAAAAATATCAAATACAAGTTGATATACTCAAATTGATACTTTCCTCAAATTAATACTCCATTTGTCCTATTTTGCAAATACTACTTTCTGTTTGGGTTCTTCAAAATAAGAAATCAGGTGTCTCATTTTGAATGCAGGCACAGACGAGTTGCGCTCATCTTCTCTCATCCCCATCTCCATCCTTCCATTTTTCTTGCTGGAATATGTACCGAGCATAAGAAGCGTCTGAACAGAGATCCTTATTTCCCTCTGCCGATCCAGGGAAACTTCTCTTTCATTTCCGCTGGTTTCCCACTCCCGCTCTTCTTCTCGTTGGATCAGCGTTCAGATTCCAATTGCCCGGACAAAAAGAAAGAATATTATAAATGGGTTCGAGATCGAACGCCTACTTCTACCTTCTTCCTCTCTTACTTCTTCTGCTCACGGCCAAACTGATTTCTGCTCAGGTACCTCTGGTTCGCACCTCCTCTCTCGGTTGCATGTCTGCGTGCGCATTAAAAGATGTGTGTTTTGGTGTTTGGCTACTGATAATTCTTAGGAGAATGTGGATGATGCTGGAATAGAAGAGTCGAGGGGAAGGATTAGAGATCTGGGTCGTCGCAGTAAAGTGAGTCTGTTGTATTTTTATGCTTAAATGTTCATTTAGCTGGCAACCTAAATCGGAGTTGGCTTACAATATCCCGAATTGGATTTTACAATTATAGTCAACTGGGTAGAAGATCTGGGATTGTATGCATTGTTAGGATGTATTTAAGGGGATTGTAATTTGCTGGTCTGGTCTAACCAATGTCAGGTCTTTGTGTATTTTATAACTAATAACTATGTAAGTTTGGTGTAGGACTGAAAACAGTCCTAACAAAACATTCTTAGTCACCTTCTGAAGCTGATCCCTGAATTGGTTTTGGGATGATTAGATCTGGTTATTTATCTTGTGTCTATGGGTGAACGTTGTCAATCTTGAATTATCAAGTATTCAAGTTATAATACAATAAAGCTTACATATTTGAGCTAAGCCGTTCTGGTGAGAGATGCGTATGGCAGCTTATGATTCACGGCTGTAAGTATAATAGTATTCAAACATGATTTAAGTTGTGAGGGAAGTATAGACTGCTTAGTGACTCCAAAATCTAGGCAGTAAATACTTAGTAGGCAAATAGTCTTTCAAATAAAATACAGAGTATGATAATTTAACTTCAAAACCTAGAGAACTCAGGGAGTCGGGATCAATCTTGTTTCTTCTATGTGTTGTCTAGTAACAGTTCCAAGTCAGTCAAATACTTAGTAGGTAAATGCTCAATTTTCTTAAGCCTCAAGGCATTTTTTAGGTTTAAGCCTCGTGTTTTTTCCTTTAGTTTGGATTTTTTTAATATTTAGTCAGTAGCCATCAAAACTTCTAAAGACGTAAAATCTATGTGCCAAAATGTTTTTCTTTTCTTTCCACCAAGTTTAAGTTACTCAAAAAGCTCCAGCTATTTTTTCTTTTTATTTGAGCTACAATGAGTACAGAACTTCTTTAACTTTTTTTATTTATTCCAATTGCTCTTGAATATCAAAATCCCCAGGCTCCAACAATTTCTTCTCTGTTTTTTTCACTTCAACGCCTTTTTCTATTTTTGTTTAAGAAAATTAATTTTAACAACTTCTTAAAGAGTAAAACTTATGATAGTTGTGTATGACAGGTTATGCTTTGTTAGTAGTTTTGTACAACAATAACAACACCCAAGCCATAGTCCCAAAAGAGTTTGGAGTTAGCTAACATGAATCAACATATTAAATCAGAGTTAAAAAAGATATAAAAGATCAGAAAAATAAAAAGATAAGAAATATAAGATACGATAAAAAAGATAAAGAGATAAGAAAGATAAAGAGGATAGAAAATATAAGACAAAAAAGATTTAAAAAAAGGACATAAGAAAGATAAAAAGATGAAAAAAGATCAATCCTCCGCTCGAATATTCTCCCTCCACATGAATATTTGTTAGTAGTTTTGAACTGTAAATAAATCCTGCATAGAGATTGAGGCTTGCGTCTCAATCCACCTTTTTAAACATTGGGAAAGACATCTGACTTGAAATTCACCCCTATGTTTTTTGCATGAATTTATAGACTGAACTAAATTTAGACAATTATTTGAAACTATAACTTCATACAACTATCCCCAAGATTGTTGAGATCAAGGTAATGAACATGATGTAGTGTTAGGCATTCATTACTAATCTCTATGAATTAAGGATCAAGAGTAATTAAAAATGAATATGAAAAACTCTTCATTTGAGTGTAGGCCAGAAAGTGCCTTGTTAACTAAATGGGGACACGTTCCTAGAGAAGTGTTCACCACACATTGAGAGAATGTTTTATGTGTTTTATGCAAAACAAAATGAAAAGAGTGGTTTATTTGAAAACCAATAGCTTTCCTTTATAAATATTGTCGAGTGGAACCTGTCAATTTCCAAAAACATAAACTGGCTTCATCTCTAGAAATTATCCAAGTTTGATTAAGAGAAGTCCACTGCACTAATAATAATAATAACATAATAGGAGATTAACCAAGTTGGACTAGTTCAGTCGTGCAGATCGCATAGCATAAATTACAAAATTTGTCATATATGTTGTTGTATATATTCCTAGAGCCGATGATCTGTTTTCATGGTTATTCCTTGTGGTCATATTTTGATGCGCAGATTCTTGTAGACAATCTTAAGACTGGAGATGGGATACAGGATAAGAATGATCCTGAATTTGTCAGCGTCGCTGTTAACTTGGACACAGGTCTGGGAATATTTGATGCCTTATTTGCAAGTTTGTCGATGATCCTTGTCAGTGAGGTTAGTATCTTCACTTCTGTAGGTTGCCTTATGACCTATCTATGGTTTTTGCATCTCACTGCCACAAGTTTTTCTGCATGCCCTTTATTATTGTATTTGACCTGACTCTCCGATTTAGATTGTTGATAATGATTTAATGAATATGAGATTTCTTCTTCAATATAGTTTAATACCTCCCTGCCCCCCCAAGAAAAAAAGAGTTGTGTTACAAAACACATCTTCGTTCCCCCAAAGTCATATTTCTGATAAAGAGGAGCTAATTTTCATTGAATGTTATGTATTTATTTCCATTAAAAATGTGTAAAAACTCCAAAACAAGTTAAGTGTATTATATTTAGTAAAAAATTGAAATCTTTGGATTAGTGGTTTATAAGAGTACCTTACCAAAACGACAGAGGGAATAGTAATATTCTTCTTGGCATTTGAATGAGCTCAGTTTTATAAAGTGGTTTTCCCTTAGATATTACTCCTTCCATCCCTCTGAGATTGTCTCGTTTTCCCTTTCGGTTTGTCCCAATAAGATTGTCTCATATCAAATTTGGTAACGTTTGTGTGGTTCTAAATTGTTCTTATTTTATTCTTACTTTATCAATTCAATATCAACCACATAAATTCACTTTTCTTAATAACTGCACGTCTGCACCACCTCATGTACCAAAGTTAGGGGGACGGAGGTAGTACTATATAAAAGATCAATTAAAAAAAGTGACTACTTTTACATATGGATAAAAATACGACTAATATGACTAAAAAGATAATAAAGTTGGAAAACTATACATGACACTTACCAGTTCATTATGTCATTGATAGTTTTTCATATCATTGCTACTTTATTATGTCACTACCAATCATCAATGGTGTCACTGCTTCCCTCATCAGTGTCACATCCGCGTTGAAACATGTCACCATGGTCGCCATAAAAAAATCCTAACAACTTTTTCCAGTGGAAAAACAGAAAAACATTCCGTCAAACTTTTCTTGCGGCTGCGGCCGGAAGTGGTTGACAGAGGCGGCTAAGGGCAGGGGTGGGAAGTTGGGTAGGGATTAGAGGGGGTAATTTAAATTAATTTAACTACTCACATTTTCTTATATCAAGCCAAATGCATCTGGGGTATTAGTATTGTATTTGCTCTCCCTTCATGTGATACTTCTTTAGTTTGGCTCAAGTATTATTTCATGAATTGCTAATTGCTATGCTTCTAGATTGGTGATGAGACATTTATAATAGCAGCTCTTATGGCAATGCGTCACCCAAAGTCAATTGTTCTATCTGGTGCCCTAAGTGCCTTGTTTATAATGACGGCAAGTAGTCTAATTACTTCTCTCCAGTCTCACTATATAATATTTAGAGATGTTCATTAGTGAAACTTTTCTACCAAGAGGCTTGATTCGTAATAGTATAATACTAAGAGTTCTGGACCTGTCCATGTTAAACAGATACTTTCAACTGGTCTCGGCAGGATTGTGCCTAATCTGATATCAAGGAAGCATACAAACAGTGCTGCTACAGGCATGTGAATTATATTTTTCGCTAACAAGTAACAACAATTCAGTTCAGACCTGTTTGGAAAACAGAAAGTTTTGGGGAAGCAAAATAGAGAGGAAAATAGAAAGGAAATTTAGAATGAAAGAAAATGTTGGGTAAACTAAATAATTGTTTCAAATTCAATACATCGACTTCAAGTTCAGATATTTGTTCGAACTTCAAACTCATTCTGTTCAAATATCCCTTTCATTCTGTTCAAATATCCCTTCCCTACTAGTTTACTGGTTCCAGACGTAGCATCTGCGTTTCATGATTATGATGCTTATTAGAATTTGTTCTGGGGGTTCCATTGGACAATTTTAAATCTTAGCTTTCATGCTTCTTTGCAGTTCTTTATGCATTCTTTGGGCTTCGACTACTTTACATTGCATGGAGGTCAGATCCAAAAGCTTCCCAGAAAAAGGAAATAGAGGAAGTATGTTTTCACCTTCTTATGTTTAGACTGATTTATGCTCGAGTAACAGCTACCAAAACTGTTGCTTCATTCAGTTGCTTCTTTTCTTCGTTTTTCCAATTTTTCTCAAAAATGTTGCAAATATTGTCTCTTAACGAGCCTCAAATATTTCAGGTAGAAGAGAAACTTGATGGTGGGCAGGGGAAAACAACAGTTAGGCGATTCCTCTCTAGGTTCTGTACCCCAATATATTTGGAGGTGTGTGATGCATAGGGGTGAATGCAATGGCATAGCCAGGGATGCAAAATGGGTTGGGCTGGTACAAAGATTTTTGTTGGAAAAAATTCAATTTTTTTTGGCAAAATTCACAAAAATAATCTCTACTTTTAGGGATTCTTAAATAATAATCCCTATTCATAAAAATGACCCTAACTAGCAATTGTGTCCACAAGAATAAATTGAGGTAAATTAAAATTATTTCCCATTTAATTCTCCCAAATCTTACCTCTACTTTCCCCCTTCACCACTCTTCTTTTCGGGTAACACTTCTATCTTTTATCCTAGAAAGAACCACATATAGTGGAAATGACATTAAGATTAAATGGGTTTTAGTTTTAATTCATTTCGATAAGAAGAGCGGTGAAGAGAAAAGTGATAGTAGGGATTGATAGACCGCAAAGGCTCCCACCAACGGTGGAGTAAGGCGGGGTCGGATGTACGCAGCCTTATCCCTGTATTAAAGTACAGAGAGGTTGTTTCCGAATGACCCATAGTGAAAATCGCGTCAAAATTGAATAGACCGACTGCTGCTTCATAACAATGAAGTGCAGACAGTTCAGTGAGCCATTTTGCTTTATTTCATCATATTCTTAAGCCAAAAAATAGTGAGTTTTTGGCTCCATTGCAAATGATGGAAAGTATTTTTATTAAACTAATATTTAAACATTTTAAGTTTGGGTTGGACCGGGGCCTAGTATCCCCCCATCTCCGCCCATGGCTGAATGTACAGTATGGATGTTTTTACTTGGATTGTAATTTGCTGGTCTGGTCTGTTAAAGTCTGGTCTGTTAAATGTCTGGTCTCTTTGTATTTTATAACTATGGAAGTTTGGTCTGGTAAATATCTGGTCTCTTTGTATTTTATAACTTAGAAGCAGTGGTAATAGCAGAATTACTCTAGATGGTAAGGAGATACTGGTCAGTGATATGCTTCGTTACTTGGGCTCCATAATTCAGAAGGACGGTGAGTTAGATGAAGATGTATCCCATAGAATCATAACAGGGTGGATGAAGTGGAAGAGTGCGTCAGGATTTCTATGTGATAGAGGTATCCCGACTAGACTGAAGGGTAAATTTTATAGGACACCAATTAGGCCTGCATTACTGTATGGCGTAGAGTGTTGAGCGGTGAAACAATGTCACATTCAAAAGATGAGTGTGGCAGAGATGTGAATGTTGTGTTGGATGTGTGGGCATACTAGGAAGGACCACGTGAGGAATGAAACAATCAGACAAAGGGTGGGAGTAGCACCTATTGAAGACAAGATGCGGGAGTCACGCCTACGGTGGTTTGGTCATGTGCGTAGAAGACCGAGTGACACACCTGTCAGACGAGTTGAGATGTGTGGAGAAGAGGCAGGGAAGAGAGGGAGAGAAAAGCCCAAACAGACATGGTTTAGGGAAGTCCGTAGTGATATGCTTTTTCTTGGGTTGGATGAAAGTATGGCTTTTGAGAGAGCAAAATGGAGGGCGAGTATTCGTGTGGAGGAGTGATCTCGTTTTATCTTTTCCCCTCATCTTTTTTTCTTGTGTTTTATCCTTTTATCCTTATATATATAAACATTATTTTTATCTTTTTTATTTTATCATTTCTAGGTATTTTCATCTCTTTTTATATTATCTTTTTTATCTTTATTTTCTTTCTTTTCCTTTTGGCGGTGATATCATGTATCGATTCACGTTAGCCGACCCCAATATTTTTGGGACTCTGGCTTGGATGTTGTTATTGTTGTTTTTTTGGAAGTTTGGTCTGATTTGTTTTGTTTAAGTCTGGTCTAGGATTGAAAACGGTCCAAGTAAAAACATCCTATGATGTGAGAATTGAGAATATTCCATTTAGCTAATCCTTTTTTAAGCTAAGACAAATTTTTTACACGAGTAGTGTCTTATATTATTGTTATTATAATATTGTCGTATATTATTGTTATTATAATATTGTGATTGTTGTTATTACTATTGCTAGTTTCCTATTATAATCATCATACTAGTTTTCTATTGGTATACATATCATCATATTTCTAATAGCAATACGTATGTCTGGGTTAAGATGCCTGTTTGGATTAAGTGGTACTTGTTTATTAGGCAGTTTATTTTGTGTTGAATAAGCAGTCAGAATTGAATAAAATAATCAATTTAATATTATTCTTGAGTTATAATGTCAATGAGGAATTTCATTTATTAACATAAATCTAATTCACAATCGATTTCAAAAAATTGACGGAAAAGACGTCTTAATGGGGAAGACTATTATTTACCAAGCTTAATGATTAAGTCAGTTTTTTTACCCAATGATTAAGTCATAATTTCAATTAAGTCATAAGTTAACATGACTAATGGCTGAACAATTAAGTCATTGTTCTCATTAAACTCATTAAGTCAAAAGTAAACAGCCTCTAGGCTTCCTCTAATAGTGGTGTAGTAGGACTGTTGGAACTAGTATAAATAGAAGTGTTCTACTCTTTAATAATACAACAACATCCAAGCCTTATATCAGAGCAAAAAAGAGAGGAATGATAAGAAAGAAAAGATAAGGTAAGATAAAATAGATAAGATCAAAATAACATAAGAACATAAGATAGATAAAAGAAAAAAAAGATAAAGAACATAAGAAAAATAAAAGATGAAAATAACATAAGAACATAGAATGATAAATAAAAGAAAAGAAATAAAGAAAGAAAGAAAGAAAGAAAGAAAGAAAGAAAGAAAGAAAGAAAGAAAGAAAGAAAGAGAAAAGGAAGAAAAGAGATCAATATTCCACACGTATATGCTCCCTCCATTTTTCTATGGCCAAATCCATACTCTCATCCAACCCAAGAAAAAGCATATAGTTTTGATTCCTCTAATCCAAGTTTGTTTAAGTCTCCCCCTTTCTCCTACTTGCCTGTTCTCCCCATCTCTCAACTCGTCTTACAAGTCATCATTCGGTCTGCTACGCACATGACCAAACCACCACAATCGAGACTCTTGCATCTTATCTTCTATAGGTGCTACTCCCACCTTTTGTTTGACCATCTCATTCCTCAAGCGATTTTTTCTAGTAAGTCCACACATCTAACGTAACATACGCATCTCTGTCACACTCATCTTTTGTATGTAACATTGTTTCATCGTCCAACACTCTACGCCACACATTTGTGCAAGCCTAATTGTTGTCCGATAAATTTACCCTTCAGTCTAGTGGGCATAACTTGATCACATAGAAACTCATATGCACTTTTTCACTTCATCCATCCTGCTCTGATTCTATGAGATACGTCTCCATCTAATTCACTATCCTTCTGAATTATAGAGCCCAAATAACGGAGCATATCACACCCCAGTATCTACTTTCCATCAAGGGTAATCCCACAAAACTTGCACTCCATATACTGAGTCTTACTTCGACGCTGTCTGAAACCCTTGGTCTCCAAAGTTTGTCGCCATACTTCCAAACTAGGTAGTTTACTCGCTACTCGGTAGTAACTCGGTCAAGGGCCGAGTAGTGAGTAGGACCGATTACTCGGGATTACTCGGTGATTACTCGGTCCTGTATTAATTAAATTTAATAATATAGTTGCCAGATATTTAGAAATATAATAGTCTTAAAATAGTCTTAAAATTGTTTTAAAAGCATAGAAATGAATAAAAAGATACAAATCTTATTATCCTAATGATGGAGTAGCAAGTCATAAATATTCCAAGTTTTCAAAATTTAAATTTAATAAGTGATCAAAATTTAATGTCTATTGTTGAAATTGAATTTATAGGGAGTACGAGGGCATTAGTCCAACATAAAGCAGGATGTCTACTAGACTACTTATATTATTCAAAAGTATTTATCAGTTTAGTCCAAGATGTCATGCATGGGATACTAATGATACTATAAAGCAGGATGTCTACTAGACTACTTATCCAAGATGAAAGCTTACCGAAAACAAGAACCAAAACTATCCAAGAAGGCAAGAACATACACGACTAAGAGAGGGGGGAAGAAGAAACCAAAAGTGAAGAGGTGAAGTTACGAGAGAAAGAAGAGTTACTAGCCGATGTCGCAGTCTCAACTTGAAGGGATAGCGGATGTCGCGCGACTCCAAGAGAGCCGATGTTGCAGTCGGAGACTTGGAACTCCGTTAAATTTTTGTTTTAATTTAGGATTTCTAACCGTAGTGCTTCAATTTAAAAAAAAAACGAGTAATGCCGAGTACTCGCCGATTTCTGATGTTGACCGAGTAGCAAAACTCGCCGAGTACTCGGCGAGTAACTCGGAAAATTAACTCGGACCGAGTTAAGTTGCTGATCGGCAAGGCAAGGACCCGAGTTGCGAGTACTCACCGAGTACTCACCGAGTACTCGCCGAGTACTCGCCGAGTAGATAACCCAGCTTCCAAATTTGCTTTAACCCCCAATTGTGTTTCATCAATCAATACAATATCGTCAGCAAACATCATGCACCACAGTATATCCTCTTCAATTGACTTTGTAAGTTCATTCATGACTAAAGCAAATAAGAAAGAACTCAGAGCTGATCCTTGGTACACTCCGATAGAAGTTTTAGACCCTGAAGATGCACCTTATACAACATCTCCTTTACACATTTAGTGATTTTACTGCAGCCAATAACTCGGAAGCCACCATTGTCAGATTTGATGTTGCAGCCCACATTTCTACCAACTCTGTCGTTGACACTAGTCAAATTGTTGCCGCTGGAAAATTGAGGCTTGAACCAATAGATCCCATACCTAAACCTCTATCTCAGCTTTTCATTTCCTCCACAGCTACCAGAAAAGTTGATGATAAATCCTTCGCCAAATCTGTTGGCTCGGAGGTTGTTTGTAACTCCACCAGAACAGCTCTACGACACTCCACTACACTTAATTTTCTGCGAGTATTTAAAGAATGAAGGCATTGGAGTATTGGTGAATCAAAGAGGAAAAATGTCATGGTCTCCTAGGACTCCACGTCAAGATTGCTGACCTTCACATTATCAAACATGGTTGTTTGTCCGTTTGTTTCCCAGTGATGCCATTTGGTTGTGGAAAAGACGGACACTACCTGTTACTCCCCTTCAAGCTCGGGGACAAGCTTAATGTCCAAGAGGGGAGTAATGATATGAGCGGTTTCTTATTTTATTATTATTGTGATTGTTATTATTACTATTACTAGTTTCCTATCAATATCAATAGTACTAGTTTCCTATTGGTATACATATTCAAGTTTAGTTTATAGAGGTGATCAATAATGTGATCAATATTTTTGGAGTTACTCCTTGGTGTCTTGACAAGGTCAGACGCCACCTTCTTTTGCCTAGTGCGGAGAAGTTCTACATAATTAGCGATTTAATTGTTCTTTTCATCTCCCGACCATGCCTATAACAATCATCTACTTATTCTAATCATTACTCTCTTGTATGCTTTATTTACCACATAGGTAAACCAGTGCTATAATTTTGTTTAGGATTCAGTAAATCAGTAATTTGACTAATATGTCCGATGGATATCCTAACTTGTATGCAGTCATTTATCTTGACATTTCTGGCAGAATGGGGAGACCGGAGCCAGATAGCAACAATTGCTGTAAGTCATTCATAAATAACTATCTTTCTTCAGATAAGCTGGATGGTCACCTAGTTTACCTTTGTATTTCTTAATTTGGTCTTGCCTTTTGTTAATAATGACCTTTACAAGAGTGAAGGGGAACGACTACCATTATTTTAAATGATTGAGGTCTTTCACACTCATCTTTGACACTGCCATTAGTTAGTCTAAAGTTGTAAAAGATGTTGAATAATCATGGTTGTATAGGATTTGAGTGGTATAAGGCGCAGGGGCCTACATGGTAAAAATAACTATAGCACCCAAGGAGAGACTAGCTGCTAGACGTGGACTAGTTGGGGCTAGGTGAGGGTTTTTACAACCATAATGTTTACAAAAAGAGAAACTAATTAATGGACATACAAAAAAAATCATATATTAGTCTTTTTTTTTAAAATATGAATGGAATAATAATAATCCTAATAATGAAGCAACAACAAATCCCAACAATTATAAACATTCTAGGTTTCATGAAAATCAATCACGGATCACCCAATAATACTTAATTCTGAACTTATTGTTCGAAACTAATCTTCATTTTTGAATCCACGTTCAAAAGATGAGTGTGGAGGAGATGCGCATGCTGCGTTTGATACTTTGATGTGTGGGCATACTAGGAAGGATCACGTGAGGAATGAGACAATCAGACAAAGGGTGGGAGTAGCACCCATTGAAGACAAGATGCGGGAGTCGCGCCTACGGTGGTTTGGTCATGTGCATAGAAGACCGAGTGATGCGCCTATTAGACGAGTTGAGATGTGTTGAGAAGAGGCAAGGAAGAGAGGGAGAGGAAGGCCCAAACAGACGTGAGTTAGGGGAGTCTGAAGTGATATGCTTCTTCTTGGGTTAGACGAGTCTGAAGAGGTTTTTGGTATAGTCCCCCTCTTCTTTTGTATCATTTTTTAATTTTAATAAAACTTTGGTAAACAAAAAAAAATGAGGGGGGTATGGCTTTAGAGAGAGCAAAGTGGAGGGCGGGCGGGTATTCGTGTGGATGGGTGATCTCGTATTCTCTTTTCCCCTTTTGTTTTCTTGTTTTTTTTTAATTTTTTTTAATTCTTTTATCCTTATATATATAAACATTATTTTTATCCTTTTTATTTTATCATTTTTTAGGGATATTCATCTCTTTTTATATTATCTTTTTCATAATAGCTTATCTTTTTTATCTTTATTTTCTTTCTTTTCCTTTTGGTGGTGATATCATGTATCGATTCATGTTAGCCGACCCCAATATCTTTTGGGACTAAGGCTTGGATGTTGTTGTTGTTGTTTAACCTTAAAATTGAAATTTGAATTCTTTTTTGCCGGTTCGAGCCTTTCGAGGTGTGATTTGGACCAATTTTTAGTTCAAGGACTGAATTGAGCTTACACGACCGGTACAAGGGCCTATTTAACTCTTTAACCATTTCTAAAATACATACTAAGGGGGAGCCTTAGCGCACTGGTTACGGTTCCAAGTCTTGGGAGTGGCCTCTTATCAAAGTCACAAGGGAAGGCTTACCCCTTATACAACCCTTATGGTAGGCCTTTCCCCGGATCCTTTGCCTTGCGGGGATGCCAATGTGCACCAGGCTGCTGTCCCCTTTTCAAATACGTACTAATTATTCATAAATTCCATAATATCCCAATTTTGTTTAACATTTTCAGATTTAACCCCAAAAGTTAACCTTGACTGGCTGCCGAGTAACTCTGCGAGTCAACCTTGTCACCACCAACAACAACATCCAAGCCTTAATCCCAAAAGCAGGGGCGGACCTAGGCATCGAAGGTCAGCGTATGCACAAATATAACATTACAAATACATTTTGATAAGAATATAATAAAAAGAAAAGAGTAAATTCTCGAAATAGGAGTAAAAAAGTTTGAAATTTTTCAAAATATGATTGTCATATTTTTATTCCCAAAATAGGAGTAATTACTGCTAAGTGTGGAAAATATTATCATGTTTAAAGTTTGGTACTGTCAAAATAATTAGTCCTATTTTAGAATATACAAACGTTTTTAGTCATATTTGGGGTGATTTTCCAAACGAAAATGATACATTAAAAAAGTTATAGTAAAATCCAAAGAACATTTTCATGGTAAATACTACGTAAAAGACTAATAAGAATTTATTACATGAGTAGTAAAGAACAAATTGGAAGAAAAAGTACTTCAAGAGGATCGATTAGCGGAAGATCATAAGGCAGGACTCAACATTGTTATTGGACATTCGGATATATATACCTATTTGTAGTTTGGGCTTCCAAGTTCGATCCGTAACTTCGGCGCAGCCAGTGGTGCAATGGTTATTTAAAAAACAAAATAGTGCATGCACCTAGAGAGTTTCGAACATCTGACCTGAAGCACAGAAAAATCCTAAGACTAATTGTAATACCATCTAGGCTAATGTATCCTTTTGAGGTGTATCCTGGGCATACCCTAATTATACTGTAAGTCCGCCACTGCCCAAAAGATTTTGGGGTCGGCTAACATGAATCGATCCATGATATCAATGCCAAAAAGAGAAGATAAACAAGAAGAAAAAAGATAAAACAAATAAGATAAAGATAGATAAATATAAGATAACAATAACATAAGAATATAATAAGAAAGATAGGAGATAAAAAGATAAAAGAGCATAAAAGCTTTTCAAGAAAATCAAACAGTGCGGGTCACACTACTAAGACGGCATTTTCAAGAAAAAGTTAAATTAAGCTTTTGGCTTAAATGAGTGTTTTCAAGTGACAGAATCGACTTAAATTAAGCACTTAAAAGCTAATTTTCTCAAACACTTACAACTTTAAACACTTACTTTAAAATCACTTTAAAGAATCACTTTTTTTTTAATAGAAGCAATTGTAAGCACTCACTAATTGGCAATAGGCTACCCCTAGTAGCAAGTACTTGGGGATTAGATAACATAGCCATGGACTATACTGTCTATACAATACTTCCTCAATTTTTTATTGTTCAATTTTAGACTCGGTTAGGCCCTCAACTATTTGCCCCTAGCTTGGTTCCCGCATGCATAAAGCATGTGAACTAAACTGAGTCTAAGTTGCATAGTTGAGAACCATATGGAACCTAAAGGAATGTCTGTCCATGGTGAAATTGAGTAATAATGTATACTACGTACTATATAGTCTAGGGACCAAATCAGGTATTAACTTTAAGCTAAATGGCGTTATCCATTTATGACAGTTCACTTCTCATTTTGCAGCTAGCTACCCACAAAAATGCAATTGGAGTAGCTGTTGGTGCCACAATCGGGCACACGATTTGTACATCTGTAGCAGTGGTGGGTGGAAGCATGTTGGCGTCCAAAATATCACAGCGGACAGTGGCAACCATAGGTGGCTTGCTCTTCCTCGGGTTTTCCTTGTCATCCTATTTCTACCCACCCCTATAACTACAAGTTCATAGATACATATTTATACCTCACAATTCAGGAGCTCCTTTTCTCGTATTTCTCTATTTGAAAGTCATAGAGTAGTATTTTTTTCAAATTGTTTGTTCATTTTCTCTTAAAAACTTGACAGTGTAAGCACTATAAGAAGTATCATTGAAATATATAGCATTTGGCTAAGACTCCTCGTAGTATTGTGCTGACCATTGTTGATACTTGGAATCGTTTTTTTATAAAGTTGTGGCATCTGCATATAATGCAGTTTTTATTGAAAACGATTAAATATAACTTCAAAATTGTTCTTCAACTCATTAAGCATTGTCAGTATTTGTCACTGATAAGGATAGTCGAGTTGGTCACATAATTGGAATGCTACCCATTGTATCCAATAAGGTTATTAATGTCTGCGCATCACTTTTGTTATCCAAAATTGAGTTTGAACAACCCTTGGTATATCAAATTTAAGGAAGAAAAATAGGGTGAAAATTATAATTTGGAACAATCATCTAGCAATCCCAAAGAGGAGGTCGCAGGTTTGAGACTTTGAGTTTATCCCAATAAAAAATATTGATATTAACAAGAACAGGTACTATAATAAGTTAGAAGAATATTCCAAAAAAAATAGAGCCCCAAAGTTGAAAGAAAAAAGTGAAGTTAAAACTTAAAAGTAAGATAATGGTTATTAATTGTTGCCTAAATAAATGGAACCACAAAGTTAGAGAGGAATAAAAAAGAAAACTGTATAAATCACGGTAATACCTTGATTTATTTTACATAAAATAATAAAGATTCATTTTACAGAAATGTTTATAGCATGTCAATAATAAAGATTGATAAAGTGATGATGAGGAAGTTAGTCTGAGTTGGTCTCCAGACTCCAGCCTCCGCATATATATCCCTAAAAATCAACACATGAATTAGAAGATGTATGTTGTTTATGTGAATCGTACTTTTTAAGATCTTTTCAACTTAGGGTTTACTTTACTAGAGATTTAACATTTTAGTTAGTATGAAAAACGAGTGTGCACTGTGCATGCAATATAAAACACCGAGAGACAATTATCATGAGTTTAGGCAGATATTGGTTGTTTTGAATCCTACTTTTTGTGCTCATATCATTGTGAGATTGAATTAAGATCGACTTATAACGATGACTTGAGCAAATGGTCCGTCCAAGTATCCTATCTTTTAGAAAACAGATATTGTTCCTCAAAAAGAAAAAGAAAAGATATAGTTAGAGGATAACTGTAATGGATAATTGCTTATTGGTATACCAAACGATTAGATCTAATATAACTCGAGCTATTTATCCTTACGTCATGACTCAATACTAGAGTCCGTCAGGACCATTGAATTTGGAGGTCCGGTATCAAAAAGCAAATTGAGCCCCCTGATACAAGAAAAGATACAAAATTTAACAATGAAATACAAATAAAATAGATAGTTTAGTGAAATGTAAGTTTATAATGTTTATAGTGCGTATTAGAAAATCTAAAAGTTACACCTTTTGAAATCTCAAACAATACTTAACATCTAGAAAATCAATCTATAACTACTAGTCTACTACCACATACTAAATTTTTAGGGAGCTCGTATAAGAGTGGACCCGGTGCCAAACACCTATTACACCTCTTAAAAGACAGCCCTGGAGTCTGTTTGATAACACTCAATTTGGTTGAATCTACTGAATTATGGAAAATATACATTTAAAACATATTTTATAGATAAAAATGAAAAAAATACATGAAAATAGCTAATGTAGTCTTCCACAGAGTTTCAACCAATTCAATCTTGTTTATTTTTATTGTCACACAATTCAGCATGCGAAATCAGAAGTTATGTATTTGGTAAATAGTTGGCTGATAAGCTGAAAGCCTGAAAATATAGGTTATCAAACGGGTTTTAAAAGACATTCTTGTTCTGATCATAGATAATTGATGATGTACATGAATTCAAGTTGAGTAGGATCATTAATAATTAAAGACACTTTTAAACACATATTCAACATTTTCATTCATCTCGGATGGCAAACCTCATATACGAGATTCATGCACCAAATGTTTCAACAACGTTAAATATTCTCGTTTGTGAGGCAGTGAGTTGAAGGCTTGAAGCTAATTACAAGTTGGGGTTTTTGATGTTTATAAGTAATACATATCATTCATATGAATTGTGCAATGGTACTTGATTTATAAGGGAAAGTTCCCGAAATAGGACTAAAAAGTTGGAAAATTCCAAAATAGGACTGTCATATTTTTATTCCCAAAATAGGACTAATTACTGCCAAATTTGGAAAATACTGCCATGTTTGAAGTCTGGTACGACCAAAACATGACAGTAATTAGTCCTATTTTGGAAATAAAAACATGAAAGTCCTATTTTGGAATTTGCAAACTTTTTTAGTCCTATTTCGGGTAATATCTCGATTTATAATTAAAAAAAATTGAGAGCTCATATTGTTGGGTGAAAAAATTCTAATACCTATTTTTTTTGAGAGTTTATACCTATACTAGTTCTCAAGCCCGTGCGATGCACGGGAAGTGTATAATTTAGCTAGTTTTAAATTTGATTTTTTTCAAGGTCATATATAATGTGATGCAAAAGTACATTAAACTCACTCTAATATAGAGTCCGTTTGACAATACTAAATTAGCTTATTTTGTTGAAATTGATTAAATTCTGGTTGAATAGGCTGAATAGGTGAAATCTTCTCAATCATAACAAAAATTTGTAAAATATTCGATTTGTAAAACAAAAAAAAATTATATGAAAAATATTTAATATGATCTTCTACATAAGCATCTCAAGTAATATAATTGGTGTTTTTGGCCAACAAGTAAATATAATTGTTATGAACCCGATTTTAAAGAATTCATAATCGCTCGTCCTCTAAATTACTTTATTATGCATCTCAAGTTTTTTTCTAATACTCCTCAAGTTATGTACCAATCAAGTTTTACTTTATTACGTACCAATCCCGTGTTTTTTTAATGTGACCCCAATACATGTATATACACCCACTGTGCATATAAAATTTTATCAGTACTATACACAAATGTTGGTATATGCACTCCGTATCTTTGAAAAAAGTGGAGTCAAAATTCAAAAATAGTGAGATCTTACATTTTACTCATTAATAAGAACATCTTTAATTAAATTAAAAGTCTAGGTTTGATTTGGTTTGAATTATAATGGTTTGGTAGATGTCTGTTTTACATTTTATGTGACTTATTATTATTATTATAATTATTAAACTTTGATATGATCTGATTTAGTGTGGAACTTAAATCAATCTAATAAAAACACTCTGTTAAATAAAAATTAGGAATTTTTAAACTTATAAAGATTTCAAATTTGGATTAGGAATATAATGAAAGCATATTTAAACTCTAGTTGTAAAAATAAAGAAACAACCAATCATATTTTCTTTTTTGGCTATATAGCCTAAACATATTTACTTGTGAAAATATATATACAGATAGATATACATACATACACGTGTGTGAGGGAGATACTAATTTTCATCCTTATCAAATAAGGTAAGTTACCTGATCACAAGTATTATTTTTAAGAGATTATATATATATTTGATAATCTAATAGTATTAATTTCGTTTTTAATTTCAACAATATGATGGTCATAGTTTTCATCACTATATTAATAAATAAAAAAGAATTGTATGAAGATGCAGAAAAATACAAAGTATTAACACATTTTTATCATTATCTCAACATTGAGTTTAGAAAAATATTATATTATATTTTAGAAAATGGGACTGGATATTTTAATCACATAAATTTGAAGACAAAATTAATTGCAATTTTGCTGATTTATCTATAAAGTGGGCAAAAAAAAGGATACTTCATCTCTTCGATAGAATGTACAGAGTAGTACGTAGTAAAAAATAAAAAGTATATAAAAATAATTACATGATTGTTACTGTGTGATCCAATACTTAAAATTTGATTATTAATTGTTGTGGTTCCAATTACTAAAGTTAATATTTCTCAAATACGTAAAAGATTTTGAAAAGTTACCAAATTAAATAGGGAAAGTTTCCGAAATAGGACTAAAAAAGTTCCCAAATTCCAAAATAGGGCTATCATGTTTTTATTCCCAAAATAGGAGTAATTATTACTCAGTTTGAAAAATGCTGTCATGTTTGAAGTCTGGTACTGTCAAAACATAATCCGGAGTACGTAGTAATAAGTCCCATTTTAGGAATAAAAACATGACATGCATATTTTTAAATTTTCACTTTTTTGCTCCTATTCCGGGTAATATTCTCAAATCTCAAATAAATAAGGTGGATTTCTACGGTCTTTTATTTTTCATATTAATATGCAATCAAAAATAGAATCTAATATAAATAAAAGGTACAAAAATATTGATTATTTTAAAATTTAATGAGCTAATAGGAATGTAATACGTATAAGAGGAATCTCTTATACGTAAAAGGAATCTATCAAAAGCATTTTACATTTATGAACGTATATATATTTTTTCTATATTAATTTTAATAGGAATCCAATAAAATCTTTTATATAATGACGTAGCAGGATTATGTGGCGCTTTGTATGCTCTTGAAAAGTTCCTCTTTTATATATATATATTGATTTGTTGATAGGCGTGAACACATGTCAGTCCATGCTAGACCGGTTACCCGTTAAGGCCTTGTTTGTTTGGATCAAGCCTAACATGTTTGGTGGCTTAGCATGACTTGAGGCCTGTTTGTCGAACTTGTTAACCAAAACAAAAATATAAAAAATTCAAATCAGGTCCGAAAAGTTAAAAAAGTGACACACTTTTATACACATTATAAAGTTTATCACAAAAATCTAATTACAACATGATAATACACTAGTTCTATAGCTTACTAAGGTCGACTCTCCTTTCATCTCAAAGAATATGTTTTTCACCTTTAATTTTCTTTCCTTACGGTCGAGTCAAATGTCTCATTTCCGTTCTTTCAAATAATTATTCATGTTCTGCCTGTCCTGTGACAATGCAGTACCCACTCTTGTTTTTTATGTGGTTCATTCGATTGTTGAGAAATATAGGGATAAACACTCATGATTCGTGATTTGTCGTGACAGTTGTGGATGCACTTTACAATTTTAATAACACATTATATAATATTTATAAATATATTCTAATAAATATTATGCACACATAAATGTACTTCTTTAGGCTCATTTTTTATTATACTCAAATATAACACACACTTACGTAAACATGGACCCTGCCCAGGTCCAGGCTGGTTCAATTCCAGTCCTGGGAGGAATTAATTAGGTTAAGCTTGGGCCCAACCCGTGTATTTAGGGTCCCGGTTTGATTCCGGGTACCCGACCAATCCCGATCTTGGTCCCAGACAGGAGCCTTTTTAAAAATTATTGTTTTTAAAAAATATCAAATTTTTACCGTTGGGACCGAAATCGGGCACGGGTACCGTATACCGTATACTCATATTTTAATGTTGTCGAAGTCTGATAAAATTAATGTTGTCGCATCAAATTTTTCTGTAAATAAGTTTCACTCTGAAATCATATTTTTCAAAGATTACAACAGTTACTTCTATTTAAGGGAGAAAATTATATTGTTTTTTAAGTTATACTACGTATTATACTTTGAAATTTGACATTATTTTTAGCTCTTATAATAGTTTTTTATGTACTCTATGTATTTCTACCATCAAACAAGACTACATATACTAGAGAGTTGCGGCCGTGTCCCTCTTATAATAGTTTTTGATGTACTCTATGTATTTCTACCATCAAACAAGACTACATACACTAGAGAGTTGCGGTCGTGTCCCTCTGCGTGGGGTTTTGTTTTCCCGCCGATCGCCGTTAATCGTGTGTGTGTTTTTTCTCTTCTTGTTCTTCGAAGATTATCAGCGCAGGGAAGAGTGAGATATACAAGCAAGAAGTAGTTGGGTCTTCATGGATTTCAAGGAGACAACGTGCCTCAAAGCTTTCTACGTTAGTCCAATGGAAGAGTTAGTGAATCAAGGCCACAATTTGGAGATTATCACGGGCGAAGACATATTAGGAGGCGGCACGGGTGACGAGCAGACAGAGAGCGGTAAAGGGCTAAACAAGGGAGAAGACAGATCCATGGCTCGCCCCCCTCCTGAACCGCCTCCTTGGAGCGATAAAGATGTCAGGGCTTGGAAGATGATGTTTCAAGAAAACTGGCACGAAGGAGTTTGATTTTATCATTTATTTTATTTCTTATGGTTTTATTTTTGTGTTATATTTGTTTACGTTTCTCTGTTTTTTGTTGATGTCTTTAATTTTAGGTCTACAATAATGATTGACAATTCTGCTAGGTATTATGTCGTTGGAAGGATTTATATGACCAGTGATTGTTGTGTCACACCCGTTTGGTGGTTAGTGATTCGTATTGCTCTTTCAGGGGTGATCGTTTCCAAGTCTAACCATTGAGTTGGTGATGATAGTTGGTTAAAAATATTTGTCAGTATTGATCTTTTGGAATTTGATGTAACGATCTGAATCCGATAGTAACATGAACAGTTTTTCCTTCAAAAAACAAGACTACGGGGGGTGTCCTCAATATGGATTTTAATGGAGTTTAGAATTCCATTAAAATCCAGGTATCCTCAATATGGATTTCCATAAAATCTATTAAAATACAGTTATGCACAAACACTCCATGGATTTTACTTATTATTGATTTTAATGGATTTTAAAAGACTTTGATGGATTTCCAAGCCAAAATATTGAACAACCCAATCCACCAACAATCTCCCTAACACCCCTTGGATTTCAAATCCATTATTTATAAAATACTGCCCACACGTTTCACTACCTTTGTCAGTTCGATCGATACCTCCATCATCTTCCCTCCTGCATCAGACAGAAGCTTCTTCCATCTTCCAACCCAGAGCTTTTCAAGGTATGCATCTTCCATCTGTCATCAGACCACGTTTCAGTACCCTTGTCAGTTCGAGTTTTTTTTATTGATTTGCATCAAAAGGTTCATTTCACATCTAAACGTTCGCATTGTATTCTAGTAATAAGTATTCGAGTTTTTTTATTGATATGCATCAAAAGGTTCGTTTCACAACTCCAACAACTTTCTTCTACATCCCTGAGTTGGATTCTTTTGTTTGTTTGTTTTTTTTCCAACAAATCTGCATAGTCCTCTTCTCTTGGATACCACTTACTCCACTGATTCTTTTAAAATTTGATTTCTCCCTGCAGCAGGTAAATATTTATTTCTTTCTCCTGTGATTATGTGTTCCTTTGATTCTTTCTCCCTGCATAAAGGTTCTTCTTTTAAACGTGTTAGGGAAAAGGTGCAAATAGGCTCATGTACTAACCAAAAAAGGTCAAATAAGTCCTTATTTAGGAGGCTCTGTCTGGCCGTCGTCATTTGGGGTGGTTCCCGGTTGAATTTTTTGATGAATTTTTTTGAGCATCTTATTCATCAAGTCTAGTTTACTCATACCAAATTTCAGCTAAAACTTCAATCGGGAAGGCATTCAAATGAATTCTTGAAGATAACTGTGCTTCTAACTGCGCATTTATTTTCAACAATTCATTTGAATGCCTTCCAGATTGAAGTTTTAGCTGAAATTTGGTATGAGTAAACTAGACTTAATGAATAAGATGCTCAAAAAATTTCATCAAAAAATTCCACCAGGAACCACTTCAAATGACGACGTCCAGACAGAGTCTCCTAGATAAGGGTTTATTTAACCTTTTTTTTGTTAGTACATGAGCCTATTTGCACCTTTCCCCAACGTGTTATTGACATGGTATTCCATTAGCTTCTTTCACCTGACCTTTTGCCTGTGTAGCTTCTTTGATGGATAAAAGTATAAAACCTTGATTATGTTAATCATCATAATCATAAAACATGACTTGAGCATGACTTGATTATCTTTTAGGGAAAACCTCGTATGATGGGTATGTTTGGATTATGGGAAACGTAGGGGAAAGGGAGAAAATGGTGCGAGAATGTATAAATGTCAATTTATGGTTAATTATTCCTGATGAATTTTGAAAAAATGCAATAAAAAAAACGATTTTTTTAATCAAAATATTCATACGACTTTTTTGACAGCGGTTTGCGGTGGCTGAGCGGGTGGGGGCTGGGGATAAGGACATCGGTTTGCACCGGCTTGTTTTTCAAATCTATTAAAATCCATTGAAATCCATATAATTCTATAAAATAGAATTCCGTACAATTCCATAGGAGTCCCAGGGATAAGTTCACACTTTCCTTTTTTGGCAGTCCCAACAAGAAGTTCTCATTTCCCTAAATGGAAAGTTATTCTACATCCAAATAGTGCCAAACAGTGTCGAAACAGTGTCAAACTGTGTCGAAACAATGCCAAACAGTAAAATTTATCCCTAGGTAACTTTATTTCAAGTGCTCAGCGGACCTTTTTTTTTACTATAAAAATGGCTTTTTGAAACTCTATCGATTTGGTCCATGAAATCATACGTACATACGGAGTATTTTTTTTAAATTGGTCCATTTATATATCTTGATAAAACCCCGAGTAGTCTGTAGTCCCCCGTATCTTCATCATCTTCACCCTCCATCTCAGATCTTAGCCGCTCTCGTTCGGTTGTGATGGCGGCGGCCATGAGAAATGCGCTGCTAAAGCACCTGAGACTGGAAGTCGTTGCTCTACGAAGCTCAACCCCTAACCCTAGAGGCCCATTGGCTCGACTGATTGGACAGAGCCGTCATTTCTGCGAGCTAGCCAGAGGCTCCTTCCTTGATAAATCCGAAGTCACTGACCGTGTCATCACCGTCGTCAAGAACTTTCAGAAAGTCGATCCGGCAAAGGTACTCCACTTGTTCTTTTTCGCATTTCACTCCTCTCTAATTCTTTCTTCGCCTTTAAATCCTCGACGTCTAATTCTCTAATGATTGACGATTTCTTCGAAGAGTATGTGACTATGTGACTATGTGAGGCAAGGCCGCAAGGCCCATGGAATACTTTTCTGTTGTTATTTTGTGTAAGACTCCGGATTTATACGTAGTATGTATGCCCAGATTAATTTTACTGGGAGAAAAAAAAGGGTCATTTTTCCCGAATAATATGTTTTTTAACAGTTTTATTACTGTTGATTTTACGCACAGTTCGTTGTTTAAGGCGGTGAATGATGAATAAAATATTGTGTAAGTAGTGCTTACTAAAAAGGTAGACATCAAACTATGCTGTATGCCTGTATGGATTCATCAAACAGAACTATGGCCCAGAATGATTTGTCATGTGATAATTGGATATGTTGTATGCTAATTTGCGAAGCTTGCTTGTTATGTGAAGAGGATACTTTCTTGGCTTTGTGTCTCGCAAATGCCAAAAACACAATGAGTTCCTTCATTTGTTTTTCATAGCTTTTATGGGATACTGATGTGACGCGCCTTGGGTAATGATCAAGACATACTGCGATTTTGCAAAACTGATTATGTTGTGTTATGTTTTTAAAATTAAATGAAGGCTCCCTTTGGTAGACAAAACTGATTTAGTCTGCTTATTTCGCTAAAATGTGTTGCCAAGCAATTCTCCTTTCTGAATTCAGCAGATTCAGCATATCAAATCTAGTTATTCACATTGAAAAGTACGGTTTGGGAAGGGTGGTACGCATACCTTATCTCTATCACTAGTAGTTTTCTGTGTCTCTGTGAAGACCCCCAGTTAAAGGAAAAACCTGTATGTTTTTTAAAAACGTGCAAATTATGGTAAGTCATAGTAAAAGTTTTGAAGCTAAAGATGTATAGTAGTAATAATGCCATTTCAGAGATGAAATGGAGTAGTAGGAACTAGTAACAGTGCCATTTCAGCCCAGATAAGCCTTACGAAATAAAGCTGAAAGTTGTGAAATAATTTATTTTTGAATGACCTGTATTTATTTTTCTCGAAATGCAAATTACATGAACTTTCTTGATTATGATGATATGAATTATGGAAACTGTAATAGAACATAAAATGTTGCCTCATTTTATAGGAGCTCGATAGTACATAACATGTTGACATTTATTAGGGCAGTGTATACTGCAAGCCTAGCCATGTAAACATACATTCTTAGTTGAGTCAAAATGGGGCGTGCTTGTTCTTGTAAGGACACACTTTTGGTTCATTGTATTATTGTATATAATCTGAATTATTTCAGTCATAAGCTTGGCTTTTAGTAAGTACTGTATTTGTTTTGCAATGAATAAATTGTATACTGCCTTATTGAGCATTCATCATTGAGCTATTATGGCATATATCTTGTATGATTGTATCAATTATCAAATATATTCAGTGGGCTGGACTGGGGTGGGTTAATTAACTGTATCTTAATCTCTGATGCTCCCCCCGGTATTTGTGCTGTGTTTGGATTCTAGAAAATGTTTGGGAAATAATGTTAAGGGAAGTAATTTTTTTATGTTTGGTTTTGTGTGGAAATGCCAAGGAAAGTATAAAAATCTTTAAAATTTAATATATTGAAATATCTTAGTTCTTTTGTAATAGAAATAAATACTACGTAGTATGTATGAAAATTGAGTTTGGATAAATATCTAAAATAAATGAATTGTGTTTGTCTTTTATTTTCCCCAAAAATTTCTCTCCACCCAATTGTATTCTTATTTTTCTTTCATACTTCTTTTCCCTAGTATTTTCTGTGTAACAAACACTCCCTCATCGATAATGGAAAAATCTGTGTTTTAATAAAGTCTTGTCTATAATTACACTGTCTGCAGGTTACCCCAAATGCACATTTCCAAAATGATCTTGGTTTAGATAGTTTAGACACCGTGGAAGTTGTTATGGCCCTCGAAGAAGAGTTCGGGTTTGAAATACCAGACAACGAGGCAGACAAGATCAACACAATCAGTCTTGCTGTGGACTTTATTGCCTCACACCCACAGGCAAAATAATGCAGAGAGGAATTGATTCCCCTTCATTTTTTTTATATATGTAGCAGTTTGCATATCAGTTCATGGCAACGCTCTAAATGGACCTAAACTCCAAGGATGAGTTTGAATTCAGTTTTTTACTTTGTATTGATGAATTCCATGAGGGCGGGATGGCATTGGGGTCCTTTTGAACTTTTCTGGAACATTAATAATTATTATTGTGAATTTGGATGTATGGGTACTCAAGAATTTAGGGTGACGCTGTCTGGTTGTAGGCCAACCTGTTCTGGTCCTCCATTGGAGGAATCAGTGAAGAAGCGGGTATTTACCGGCAGAGCGGTGCGGTGCTTGAGGCAGATGAGGCACTTGCCTCAGGGTCCAAAAAATTGTTAAAATTTTAGGGTCCACAATTTTAGATATTTCTTTAGTAAACATGTGTATTAAATTTACATATTGAGCTTCCTTTGTCTAACCATTGTCCGCTGTTGAACTTCAAAAAGGAAAACCCAAAAAGTCCCCTAATTACCTTTGTTCGGCCAGTTTAGAAGCGGAATAGCCATCAGTGGAAAAGGGTTTTAAGGCGATTTGCGATTCTTTTGTTCTGACCTAGACTAATCAATCAACAACAGGGCCTTAAGGTTAATTTGCGACTCCCTTGTTCCAATCTATAGACTTAATTGACATCAACATCAAGGTTAATCTTTCATCTTCTATGCTTAGCTTCTAAATTTCTAATATTCTTCTATTTAAAGCCATAAAAGGATTTATAGCCTACTGAATATCTGTTGATAAGGAATTTATTGAACATCTACAATGCCGAGTTAATTAATACTTTTGCAGCTAAAACTCTCCGCCGAGTTGTACTTAATTAGTCATTTGAATACTTTGACATTAATCTAATTTTCATTTAATTAGTCGTTTTTATGATGTTTAATTAGTCATTTAAAAAAAATGTTGTATAAGGCCTTTTATGAAGTTCGACTCAGGCCCGAGTTTTGATAGGATCGGCACTGTTTACCGGTCTGTGTGGACCAACCCTCTGGTTTTTGACATGCTGTTAATTTTTGGCAGTGCTGTGTTAGGGACGGGAACTGGCTGGTCTGGTCCTAATGTAGCATGCATGCTGTGTTAGGGACGGGAACTGGCTGGTCTGGTCCTAATGTAGCATGCATGCTGTGTTAGGGACGGGAACTAGCTGGTCTGGTCCTAATGTAGCATGCATACACGGGAACTGGCTGGTCTGGTCATAATTTGCTGTGTTTTTCAACACATATTTTTGTAATAAAACATATTAAGGCTGTGTCCCAATTTTGTTCTGAGCCGGTCTAGGGGACTGTCTCAGTCGTGGAAGAAAGGAAAACTGGACAGCTCACGTCTAGAATCTAGATTGTGTCAAATACCCACTTCTACTCAACATGGAACCATGGTACTTATTTTGACGATGCATTGCATGGATAACGAATTGTTCTAAATCAGATGCAAAACTCTGAAATGGTAATAAAACCGAAAGTATTGTGGTTTGTATTGCCAAGTTTCCCGATTTGTCCGTGTAGTAAATTTAGTAATAGAGCATGGCCCTCGGTGCTTGGAAATTTTTCTAGAAGACAGAAAAACGAGTAAATGCACATACACCTACCACCCCTTCACAAGTTTCTAATGAAATATAGTGTGCACTGTGCAAATTACAGGTATGGAGACGTGTGATGTGAATCCATATGGATAAACAAGTACATAAAATATTCATTAGTTTCAATGTGAAAGATACTAGAGAAATGGTTCCAAATAGGATTAAAAAAAATACTTAATGTATCTAAATAGGACTTAAATGATTTTTATACCTAAATAGGACCATAATTTTCCACATTTCCGGATTTATCCGTAATCAATTACTCCGTGTTTTCTTTCTCGATCTTCTCTATTGACAAACGCAACCAAACTTCCGTTTCATACCATATGTGACCCCGGTATGAAGCAGCTCCTTCGCGGAACAACGAAGGCGGGGTGTGGAAGCCGAAAGGGAATATCTGAGCTGAAGAAGAAGAGACGATGGACAGAAGATGAAGTGTCATTGACTCTGGCGAAGATGTTGCAGATCCACTCTTCTTCCTCCAAATACAGAGCTTCCGGAAATTAGGTATTCATTGATCCTCTTCAACGAACATCCTCTCAACATCTGCGCTCTTCGTCTTCAGCGGCTTAAGAAAAATCCCAACCTTTTTTCCCTTCTTTTGCTATGCTGATTGCCAACTGCGTAACCTACTGTCTCAAGTTTCCCAACTCTGGCGTTTGGTTTGGTTTCTGAATAAAAGAGTTCTCATGTGAGCCGATGTGTGGGATTTGGGGTTCAAATTAAACTGATTAGGTTATATTTTTATTTTTTAATTACTTTCCTTCTTTCATTTGTAATTTTGTGTTCCAAATTACAATTGTGTTGGCTGGAGTTATGTAGGATTCCAGGGATTCAAATTATCCAACATACACAAATATAATTGAAGTGGCGGTGATTATATTTTCAAATTTACTCTGTTTGTTTCTGTCATTGTATGTTTAAGCTTTCCAAAGTAGTTTACGGGAGCATTTGAGCTTGTGATGATGTTTGCACTTCTTTAGTTTATAGGCTTTGCCACTGGTTTTCTTTGCAATGACATTGTCATTGTTTTTAAAATTGTGGCATTTGTTTTAAAATGGCATTATTTTTTAACTTTGTGATATGTTCTACTAACATTATTGGATTATCTATATAGGGACTATTATTTTTATTGCACGTTTTCAGGCAATGACATTGCAGATTTTTACTTTATAATAACAATGTATTGTGACATTATATCAATATTAAACAATGACATTATATTGCAATGTCATGTAGTGACATTACATTGTCAATATTATGTTACTATGTGACAATGACATGGTTTTAATGTTTTTCAATGTCACAATATCTCAATGTCACCAATGAAAAACATCACTTCTTGACCATGTCAAAATGTTAATGTTGTAATGTCATACATAGTATAATAATATCATAATGTTATTACACAATATTACAATGTATCAACTAATACGGTGTCACTTCTTGACAATTAGACAATGGTTATATGACAATGTCATAATTTCACGCCAATGACATTGTTATGTCATTGCCATTATTATATGTAATGTGTACTACGTATGTAGTACAGAGTACATGACAACCAGTGGTATCGTTATGACATTTATAAGCTTATCGTTGGTATTTAATTTTTTACAATGTCATTTACAATATTGTGACATTGTTTGTTGTGATATGTTAATTTTGATAATGTGACATTTTTTTTATTTCGACAATGACATTTACCCAATATTTCAATGTCACTTCTTCACAATGGCACAATATTAATATTTCAATGCAACATGATAATATTACAATGTCACCGATGAAAATAATGTCACCTCTTTACAATGTCATAATGTTATTCGCACAATGTCATATGACAATGTCACAATATTATTACACTATCATGCTATATAATATCACAATGTCATCAATGAAAATAATGACACTTGCAAATGTACGACAATGTCACAATATCATATTGTAATCGATGAAAATAATGTTACAATGTTATGACGGCTTATGGCACTGTCATACTATAAACTCATTGTAAATAACATTTTCAATTTACAAAACAATTTTCACAATCCTAAAAATAAATTTCAACTTTTTCAAAATAATATTACAATATAGATTGTATTGACAATGTCAAGATGTGCCATTGTAATTTCATGTTAGATCACTAATATAAAAAACGTAATAGAATTTGACATTGTAATTTAATTTCACTGGTCAAAATAATAAATGCAATAAAATCTAGCAAGTTAAATAAAGACAATGTCAATAATATTGACATTATTACCATTGTGACATTGTTTATAATTTTACTATAATGAAAAAAATCGTAAAAGGAATAATGAAATAGTTTGCAGAAAACTGAATCCCCTAAATGAATTCACAAAAATGTAATGAAAAGTAAAATAAAAAGACTACGGAGGCTTCTCACAACAGGTCCGTACAGAAGGTGCTTGACAAAAGGGAGAAAGAACAAAGAAGAGGAGGAAGAAAGAAGGAGAAGAGGAAGATGATGACTGTCACTGGCGAGCCAGTGACCACGACGGAGACCACCAGCTGCTAATTCCTCTGAATCATCTGTTTTTACCTTGAAAAAAATCAATTTCTAACAGCGATGGATCTATGGGAGCAGAGGCCGAGGGGCGATCTCGAGTACTGCCGCCGACCAGTAACCGGCGGGAGCCCTTGCGGACCGTCGGCCTGGGGCGGAGATCCCGATGAATCGAGCCAAAGACCACAAGGTCATTGCCGAAGGCCTCAATTAAAATTTCCGGCGACGTGAACAAATGGTGCGTATGTTGGCAGCAATGTTTGTTGGGAGCAGCATTCGTAAGGGTGTTTTGTCATCCTTTAAAAATTAGGTCCTATTTGTGGATTAAAAAGTTTCGAGTCCCATTTACTTTCCAAGGTTTTGTTTTGGTCTTATTCAAGTCTTTCTCCCGAGATACTATTGTACAAATCGTTGGGTAGCATGTGAAATTACTCTGCATGCGAGTAATGCGACTAATGCGAGATATAAAGATATAAAAATTTACGTCATTTGGTTTTAGGTGACAACTCCGGTACCCATTTAAAAAATGGGGTACCGTACCTACCATGCATTTGATTGGTCCAAATCATTATATGCTTTTTAATTTAGATTTAAATAATTCAACTGCATCATTCTTATTGGTCCATTTGGACAAAGGTACGGTACATTTGGGATACCGTAGAATCTACCTTGGTTTTATTGTTTATGATTTAGACAGTATGAGAATTTTGTTTAGACATTTTGGACCATACTATGTTAAGTACTTTTTACTTGGAGAGAGTGGTAATTTTTATTTTTATTTTATAAAGTGGTGCAATGATTTTGCATGTAACTTAAATTAACTATGCATCAAATCAAATAATGCATATTATTTTAAATGTAGAATGATGCTACATTAAAATTTGCATACTATTTTTTTGTGCAAAAAAATTATGTTCAAACTAACAAACGAGCTCATGGACCTTTTTTCACTCCTCTACTCATTGCTATCTTCTCCCACTCGGCCATCCCTCTCCTCTCTTCCTACCCATTTCTTGGTTTTGCGTCTTTTGCCTACCATTTCTCTTCACCATCACGTTCCCCTCTCTTCCATCATTCTCTACTTCTTCAATTTTTTTTGTCATCAAAACGGCTTCCATTAAAATTAGAGCAAAAACGTAAGACAAAATCCAGACAGATATTACAGATCCGATTGTAAGTCAGAGGAATAGACTTAGAGTCAGCCACCATACAAAGCAAACAGACTCGCTAGACTCAAAACGGGCAAGAGGAAGCCTAAAACGATCGAAAATGAAACACTGTCTATCAAGAGTTCATCAAAAATCAAAGTACTTTG